TTGAAAGCTGGAACATTTATTTTGAATTTGCGACAAATGTTCATGTTTCCTTGTGCACAAAATTTGAAAGAAGGTACACTTTTAAAAATTGTTCGGAAATATGTATATTTTTTAGATTTTCAAACAAATTTTGAAAGTGTGTTCCAAACATTTTTAAAATTGTTGAGATAAATTTGAAAGTGGGAACATTTATTGAAAATCCCGAATATTTTTTGAATTTGCAAAATATATTTTAAAAACATGAACATTATTTAAATTTGTGAACAAATTTTGAAAGTAGGGACATTTATTAAAATTCAAGAACATTTTTTCAATTTGCAAATATATTTTCAAAACATGAACATTATTTAAATTTGTGAACAAATTTTGCAACTGGGAACATTTTCTGATTTTTTTTAAAACTTGAAACTTTTAAAATTGTAAATTCTGTATAGAAATTTTTGGAACATTTTTTATAAGAAGCGAACAAATATTTGAAATCCTAATTCTTCTGGAATTTGGTAAAAATAATTGCAAAATAGGAACATTTTAAAAATATGTACAAAATCTAAGAAATAGAAACATTTTTAAATTTCTGAAAATTGGTTAAAAAATAAAAAATAAACTTGAAAATGAAAATAAAATAAAAAAGGAGCTAAAAGAAAAGAAAAAGTGGAAAAAAGGAATAAAAATGGCAAAAGGAAAGGAAAACAAAAAAAGGAAAACAAAAAAGAATGGAAAAGAAAAGGAAACAGGAAAAAAAGAAAACCAAAACAAAAACAGTAGAAATCCGATTCAGGAACCTTCTAGAAGGTTCCCAAAGCCGGGAAAACCGGCTGGAACTTTCCAGAAGGTTTCTAAAACCATGATGGATGCAACGCACGCTTGTCTTTTAAATGGACTGGCCCGGCTCGGTCGAGACCTGTGCTGCACCCCGACTCTTTGCCGCAACGACCGTCCAATAGGGTTTTTCGTAATTTTTCCCTTGGACATTTTCACTGGCGCAGGTAGTTGGTACACTAATGGGCCGCCCCAAGACGGCTCTGTGCATCCTATGTTTTTTTTTACTGAAACAAATCAGGAGATCGAGATAACTCCCAAACAAGATAACGTGATGACGGACGAAAACTTATTTTGGTCCCAGCGTAAACGAAAAAGTTTGGATAAACAATCCTACCTTTAATATTAGGTAGAGAGTAGAGATTATATATATAAATATACGAAAGTATATTTTATGTTTTTGGTAATTATGTAAATTATTACGTGAATACTTTTGTAATTTATAATATAATTATATGCATAATTTTTTAATTAATAAGTGTATAATTTTATTTCATATATATGATATTATATATATTATTTATGATATACAATTATAAGTTACATATATTTTATAAACTTCTAAAAAGTAATAGTGCAAAATGGGATGCACTGCATTCTGTTATAAGATTTAAAGGATATAAATGTACCACCTTCATTCCTAAATGTATCTTCATTCAAAAACTGAGGGTGTATTTACTTAATTTTAAGAAAACACACAAGTTTATTCAAACACGTGAACACATTTTAACACAATAAAAAATTCTTAAAGCATGAGCACTTTTATATACTACATCAATTAATATTTTTTTAAACTCTGAACATTTTTAAACTTATATAAGCATGTACTGAAATATACGGAAAATATCTAAATAGTTTAATATTTTCTATTTTCTATTCAATATGCATATTATTATATGAATATTTATTAAATTTATAATTAAATTATATGAATATTTTAAGCTATGAAGATATTTTAATATTTCATAAATATTATTTTAAATATATGCATAGATTTAAATAATATGTGAACAATTTTGAAAAGTAATTCAAAGTCTTGTTTAGCCCGGTGGTAGCATTCCTAGAGATAACTCCCGAACGAGAAATCATGATGACGGACGAAAACTTATTTTGGTCCCAGCATAAACGAAAAAAAGTGGAGAAACAATCCTCCCTTTAATATTAGGTAGAGGTTATATATATAAATATACGAAAGTATATTTTATGTTTATGGTAATTATGTAAATTATTACGTGAATAATTTTGTAATTTATAATATAATTATATGCAAAAAATTAATTAATAAATGTATAATTCTATTTCATATATATATATTATATTATACATATTATTTATGATATATAATTGAAATTTACATATATTTTATAAACTTCTAAAAAGTAATTTAAAGGATATAAATGTACCACCTTCATTCCTAAATGTATCTTCATCCAAAAACTGAGGGTGTATTTATTTAAATTTAAGAAAACACACAAGTTTATTCAAACACGCGAACACATTTTAACACAATAAAAAATTCTTAAAGCATGAACACTTTTATATACTACATCAATTAATATATATTTTTAAACTCTGAACATTTTTAAACTTATATAAGCATGTACTGAAATATACAGAAAATATCTAAATAATTTAATATTTTCTATTCAATATGCATATTATTATGTGAATACTTTTTAAATTTATAATTAAATTATATGAATATTTTAAGCTATGAAGATATTTTAATATTTCATAAATATTATTTTATATATATGCATAGTTTTAAATAATATGTGAACAATTTTGAAAAGTAATTCAAAGTCTTGTTTAGCCCGGTGGTAGCATTCCTAGAGATAACTCCCGAACGAGAAATCGTGATGACGGACGAAAACTTATTTTGGTCCGAGCGTAAACGAAAATAAATGGAGAAACAATCCTCCCTTTAATATTAGGTAGAGGTTATATATATAAATATACGAAAGTATATTTTATGTTTATGGTAATTATGTAAATTATTACGTGAATAATTTTGTAATTTATAATATAATTATATGCATAATTTTTTAATTAATAAGTGTATAATTGTATTTCATATATATTATATTATATATATTATTTATGATATATAATTGAAATTTACATATATTTTATAAACTTCTAAAAAGTAATAGTGCAAAATGGGATGCACTGCATTCCGTTATAAGATTTAAAGGATATAAATGTACCACCTTCATTCCTAAATGTATCTTCATCCAAAAACCGAGGGTGTATTTATTTAATTTTAGGAAAACACACAAGTTTATTCAAACACGCGAACACATTTTAACACAATAAAAAATTCTTAAAGCATGAACACTTTTATATACTACATCAATTAATATATATTTTTAAACTCTGAACATTTTTAAACTTATATAAGCATGTACTGAAATATACAGAAAATATCTAAATAATTTAATATTTTCTCTTCAATATGCATATTATTACATGAATATTTTTAAAATTTATAATTAAATTATATGAATATTTTAAACTATGAAGATACTTTAATATTTCATAAATATTATTTTAAATATATTCATAGTTTTAAATATTATGTGAACAATTTTGAAAAGTAATTTATTTCGTTTGTATTCATAATATTTATAATTCAAGAATAATTAAACCATATTTTTATTATTGAGATTAGAATTTACATACATTTACGAATTTATAAAAAATACAGGTGCGAATGGGCTGCAGTGATTGGCAGCACATTTCAGCTCCAGGAGCGACTTTATTCTTCTACATTGAACTTTGAGTTATTTAATGAGGATGTCAGTTGCTAAAAAAATGTAATGAGGACGTCAAGACGTAATGGGTTGAGTGTTTAAGTTCTGTTGTGTGCTAGCCATGGTTGCTTGTTTGAGACCCGAGGCTTATATTTTTCGTTCTAATTTTAAATACTGCCCTGATAGGCGGGACTTATTGGTCATAGAGGCGAAAAATTGGAAATGCCAACATCAACAAGGGATTTTGTGTGAGAAATAAAAAAATCGAGGTTTATGCGAAAAAACAGGCCACACAACCTCCTTCCTGCCTTCCAGTTACTGACCGCGGAACCCGCACCACACATGCGAGCCTAGTGAGCGATACTTCCGTATCCAAACTCGATTTGCACTATATTGGCATGCCCGAGCCAAGTTTTTACACTTGTTCAATGTATGCCGCAAGTTCCAGCACCAAAATGACCGTTCACGCCAAGTTCTAGCACCACTGGTGTAATTGACTCATTTTGATTTACACATATAGTAATGTTCCTCTCCAATTGTTACAGATGAGCATATCCTTAGAAAGGACTGCTTGCAAAATTCAAACTATCTAAATCATAGTAAAAACTTTAGTGGAAATCTCATGAACATAATAGTAATAGGATTGGTCAGAGTAAGTCGTGTTGCAAATGGAAACAAAAAATGTCATATCCTTTTTCAAATATTGCTCGAAAGCACATGCCCATGATGTTGCATCATAAGCTTCCTCTTGCAAGTTCTAAAACTCTATATCATCTGAACATTATTATCTTAAAAGGTTAGGATGCAAGAAAATAACACCTTTGGTAGGCATTTGTAATTCAAAAAGAGCATATATTTCAATAATAGATTTTGGAAATGTTAATCCTCTCGAAGTCCTGCATAGTTCCTTTGCATAAAAAGAGAGTATAGTACTGCACATGGTATGCTGCAGAAGATTTAAAAATGGTAGATAACACTAAATAGGCAACTACAATAACAATCTCTTGACAGAAAGGACATGAGTCATGTCAATACAATTAACAAAAATGATCTCCACCAACTAAGAAATAAACAATTAAACTGCACACAGATCAAAGCATCATTTGTGCTCGACATCTTCTTGGGCAGCGGTAGCAGCGTCACCTTGCCCAGCGTCTTGGGCAGCTGTAGCAGCGGCGCATCGCTCGGCATCTTGCCATTCTTCAAGAGCACCAGCGACTTTCTCACTGCCTCCCTCGCCATATATTTGTGCTCATGCATTCCAAATTGAGCAGGAAGTACAAACTCTAGAGTTTTAGAATTACCATGCCAACCAAATTCAGCATCAGAGTTTGTTCGGCACCTGCTTTCCTAGCTGCTCAGCCAAGCCAAGGCAGGGTCGGCGTGGGGATTCCCGAAGAGGCCCATAGAGAACTTGACACACGGGATCTAGGTGATGGCGTCGTCGATCTTGCTCATGGGGATCACGTTACTGTTGACATGACCAATCATGATGTTGATAAACTGCTGGTAGTTGTTAGGCGCCATGAGCTGCAACATCGCATCATGATCGACATCAACTCATCAAGCAACATTGTTGCAAGCACAAATAAGCAAGTATTGTCTGCTTACCATGTCAAGGCCGACAAGAATAGAAGCCTTGACCGAGTGTGTAGTCAGATCATGCAGGGGTGGTGACCCTGTCAATGACCTCCCAGTCTGAAGCCCTATAGTTAAGATGCGATAAAGGCAATGAGCATATGAACATCTGGAGAATCCAACTAATAAATTTCAGTTTCCAATTGTTTCCCACTCTTTTCTACCTGTAATTTGAGCGTGCTCTTGAGGTATCCAGGGACAAGGTCTTCGTTGACATGCATCTTGAGCCCGTTCCAGCTGATGTAGGAGATCATGACAGGTGGAGACGCCCTTATCCATGGAGTTCTTGTATGCCGGCATGTGGATGTTCATCAGGCCCTCACGATTTATGATGGTGTTGTATGAAAGCTTCATATAGCATACCAAAGCAAGTTTGCTAAGCGCTCATACATCCTGCAATTTGTGTAAAGTCGGGGACATGATGGACCACACAGATAGTAGGAACAATTAGCAAATTAAGATGGTGTAGTAAATGTACCTGAGAAACGAAGATCACCATTTGCATGGTTCCACCAGGCTGTACCCACTGGATTAACAAATCAAACCCACCAGTACAAATGCTCTCTACAAAAGAAAGAAATGAATAGAATCACAATCATTTTCACAAGTGAACTGAAGCAACTAAATAGCAAGCATCACCTAACTGGAAGGTTGCCTTCAGAAGAACTAATGCAAATAAATATGGCCGGCCGACAAAATACTAACAGAGATACACAAACTAACATAACAAGTTACAACAACATGAGCATTTTTGCATGCAGTGTATCTTAGCGCCATTACTTATACAATAGAAATTAAATTAAGTGGAAGTCAGTAGAAATTAGAAGATGTAAGTTAATGCACAAACAAACTGAGACTATAAAACAAACTGGTCATATCACCTAACCATGTAAACTCTTACAATGGATAGTGACAGTTTACAGTAATATAGTTTCTTTTAGAAGCAATCCAAAAAATTGACAACTAAATGAAAGCAAAGAATATGAAGTGATCCGACCTTTTCCTCACATAGATCCAATATTTTCAGTGGCATCTTTTTTTGTGATTAGCCCAGAACATAAAATGACCCTTATTCCTTGTTACACCCAAGACAAAATCAAATCCGCCTTCAAATGGAATTAAAAGATTAGGGTAATGAGAAATTTTTAGATAATACATCAAATGGAATAAAAACTACCAAATTGCATCCGTAAAAGAATATAACTGTACATACATGTTTAATAACAATCATGGTCTAGCAAAACCAAAACGACCAGATCAGTATATGCCATCGCTCACCATTGATATGTTACAAAACCTGGGTCAATTAAGCCGCCAACTTGTTTACACGCAAGCACAAAATATAAATAGCATGAGGCAAACCTTGCAAAAACACGGGATGAGTCAGGTGGATCTCAAACAATGTTTATCCAATTATTATTATTCTCACCTCCTCACATAACCTGATATTGAAGTAAGAAACTGGGATGAGTTCGCCTTTGATCTGCAGTAGTACATTTAGGAATACCCAATTTCTTCTTCCATCATGCAAGTACCCAGGACAAAAACACGTCCATCTCATTGGTGAGCAACCTTAACAAAGCTCCTACAAATAGGAGAACAATGATTGCAAGAGGGGAATGACACCAATAACTATCAGGCATAGCTCACTGTATGAACTTAATACCATTTGCACATTTGGCACTGACAACAGTTCTAGCGATAAACAAAAGATGAATTAGTATATGAAGTCAGGTAAGTATACACTCAAATACACCGCTACATGAAAACAACAGCCTACAAAGCAAGCATTTTAGTGAACATGATTCAGTTTTCTTTTCCTACCCGCGTTTGAAAAGGATAAAGGAGAACACAAGCAAACCTAAAAATAACCTCACGGCAAAATAAAATATACAAAATTTCATGTCTCCTATAGTCTTATAAAACAAGGAAGAAAATCAAGTTACCAAATGCTAATCTATGGGTAAAATCATCATGAAGAATTCTGTAGGGTAGAGAGCCCCATAAATAGAAGTAAATATCTACTTCATCGATTCTTGTTATGATTGATTGGAACTAATGATTTGACTGGATATTCCTTGTTTCTTTATACTTTTATTCACCTATGGGATCCTTATTAATCTCGAAATAAACTTGTTATGATTGACTGGAACTTGTATTTTGAAGAATGAAATCACGTGGCTTGCATAGACTAATCCTCCCTTGCCAGCCTTCTGGGATTTTTATCAAACACCTTGTAGGCGTACAGAACAAAATCTGCACAAACAAAGATCAGAAGTTCAGAGAAGGAGCAGGGCATTGAAAGGATGAAAGAAATTAGGAAGAGGACAAGAGTGTGTGCACTTCCTGGCTGGAGAGGAACTTGAACACACCATCGCTTGTGACGATGAAGAAGAGGTGGGCCTGGGTGATCTCCACGGTCTTCACCCGAGGCTATGCGTGAAGGCCGTGCTCGGGTAGAGCCCATCGCGGGCCAAGACGCGAGGCAGGGTGATACATCTCCAATGTATCTATATTTTTTGATTGTTCCATGCTATTACATTATCTGTTTTGGATGTTTTATATGCATTAATATGCTATTTATACTATTTTTGGGACTAACCTATTAACCTAGAGCCTAGTGCCAATTCCTTATTTTTCCTTGTTTTTGAGTTCCATAGAAAAAGAATACCAAACGGAGTCCAAACAGAATGAAACCTTTGAGATGATTTTTCTTGGACCAGAAGACAACCAGGAGACTTGGAGATGAAGTCAGAGGAGCCACGAGGTGGCCACCAGGACGGAGAGTGTGCCCATGGGGTAGGGCGCGCCCCACCCTTGTGGGCCCCCCGTGACCCTCGTGACATCAAGTCGGAACATTTGATTGGGGCTTCTGCTGGTGTGATTCGCGACATCAAGGGGACGCGGACCTGGTATTGGCAGACCACAGCATGCGTCTGCTCGGCAGAACATTTGATCTGATCTGTTGATCTGAGTGACAGTTCATTGGCGTAATACGAACAGTAGGATGTGTTTAAGTGGATTTGATCGTAGGGTTCTGAATATCCTGTGTATAGTTTTTCATGTGACTCTAGGTAAATTCATGTTTGCTCTTTTAGTACTAGTATAGATATAGATATTAAACTTTTGTTTTGAATCTTATAGATCTGAACATTCATGCCACAATAAAGAAAATAACATGGATAAATACGTTAGGTAGCATTCCACATCAAAAATTCTATTTTTATCATTTACCTACTCGAGGACGAGCAGTAAATAAGCTTGGGGACACTTGATACGTATCCAACGTATCTATAATTTTTTATTGTTTCATGCTATTATATTACCTGTTTTGGATGTTTTATATGCATCAATATGCTATTTTATAGTATTTTTTTGACTAACCTATTAACCTAGAGCCCAGTGTGAGTTCCTATTTTTTTCATTGTTTTTGAGTTTCGTAGAAAAGGAATACCAAATGGAGTTCAAACGGAGTGAAACCTTCGCGATGATTTTTCTTGGACCAGAAAACAACCAGGAGACTTGGAGACGAAGTCGGAGGAGCCACGAGGTGGCCACAAGGACGGAGGGTGTGCGCAGGGGGGTAGGGCGCGCCCCCCCACCCTTGTGCCCCCCCCCCGTGACCCTCCAGACCTAATTATTTCGCCCATATTTCCATATATCCCCAAACCACTAGAGGCATCCACGAAAAAACTTTTAGGCCCCTGCAACCTTCTGTACCCATTGGATCCCATCTAGGGACCTTTTCCGGCGCCCTGCCGGAGGGGGATTCGATCATGGAGGGCTTCTAGATAACTCTATTGCCCTTCTGATGAAGCGTGAGTAGTTTACCACAGACCTACGGGTCCATAGCTAGTAGCTAGATGGCTTCTTCTCTCTCTTTGATTCTCAATACCATGTGCTCCTCGATGTTCTTGGAGATCTATTTGATGTAATACCTTTTTGCGATGTGTTTGCCGAGATCCGATGAATTTTGGGTTTATGGTCAGCTTATCTATGAATATTATTTGAATCTTCTCTGAATTCTTATATGCATGATTTGATATCTTTGTAATTCTCTTCGAACTATTGGTTTGGTTTGGCCAACTAGATTGGTTTTTCTTGCAATGGGAGAAGTGATTAGCTTTGGGTTCAATCTTGCAGTGTCCTTTTCCAGTGATAGTAGGGGCAGCAAGACACGATTCTATTGTTGCCATCAAGGATAAAAAGATGTTTTTTATCATATTGCTTGGGTTAATTCCTCTACATCATGTCATCTTACTTAATGCGTTACTCCGTTCTTTATGAACTTAATACTTTAGATGCATGCTGGATAGTAGTCGAAGTGTGGAGTAATAGTAGTAGATGTAGAATCGTTTCAGTCTACTTGATACTGACATGATGCCTATATTCATGATCATTGCCTTAGATATCATCATAACTTTGTGCTTTTCTATCAATTTCTCGGCAGTAATTTGTTCACCTACCGTATTATTTGCTATCTTGAGAGAAGCCTCTAGTGAAACCTATGGCTTTCGGGTCTATTTTCATCATATAAGTTCCCGGTCTACTATTTTACAATCTTTTACTTTCCGATCTATAAACCAAAAATACCAAAAATATTTACTTTATCGTTTATCTATCTCTACTAGATCTCACTTTTGCATGTAACCGTGAAGGGATTGACAACCCCTTTATCGTGTTGGGTGCAAGTTGTTTGATTGTTTGTGCAGGTATTCGGTGATTTATGCGTTGTCTCCTACTGGATTGATATCTTGGTTCTCAAACTGAGGCAAAAACTTATCTCTACTTTGCTGCATCACCCTTTCCTCTTCAAGGGAAAAACCAACGCAAGCTCAAGAAGTAGCAGGAAGAATTTTTGGCGCCGTTGTCAGGGAGATCTACACCAAGTCAAGACATACCAAGTACCCATCATAAACTCTCATCTCTTGAATTACATTATTCGCCATTCGCCTCTCATTTTCCTCTCCCGCACTTCTAAAATGATTCTCGAAAAGATTCACCCTTTTTCTTTGCCCTTCTTCCATTCATCTTTTCGTTTGCCCTTATGTATTATTTGGATTGTTTGTTCGTTTGCTTGGTATAATTGTGTATTTATTTAAAATCAGAAAGCAAAAATTTTATGGATCCTCATACACTTGCTAATCTTTTTAAGAGATCCAATTATGATTAACCAATTGCTAGTGAGTTGAGGGCACTAGATTATCTTTATGAAGGTTTTCTTGAAATTCGTGAATCTGAATTTTGTGATGAAGTGTTGCAAGAAGAAAATTATAAAGTGATTCACGATAGTGCCTTGT